ATGGAAGCTCCTTCACTGAAGGATTTCCAAAGGAGCCTGACTAACCAACAATCCTGGATGACTAAAACCAAACACAACCTGTATCTTGGCAGCAGATTAGACCAGCTGGCCCATGTGCCCTGTAGCTGGATGGTGCTCTGATATAAAAACCTAGTGCAGACCAGACCTTACGCACACACAAAGTGGACTCAGTACAGAGATAAGTGGGTGAAATTTAGAAGCCTGCTCGATAGAGGAGGTCAGGCTCGGTGATCTGATGACCCCGTCTAATAGTCCCTATGAATCCATCGATAGACAATATAGATCAGATATTTATTTGTACGGGCGCATCACACACAAACAAGGGAACATTCAGCCATACTGAGCATACAAAACAGATCAAAGAAATTGGCATGAGAACTCCTTACCACAGGCACCATGGAGCAAAGAGTTGGGCTGAATGCCAATCAGAAACTGACTGGCTATGGTAGGTGGTGCTGGCGGCATGACCGTTAGTTTAGGCTGGCGGACGGCTTCCATGAGAATGTCTCATTTTCAGCTGCTTGTCAGTTTGCTGAGCGTTAATCATTTGGCCTGAAATTTCCCCAACTCTCAGCCCAGTATCTGCAGCAGCGTCCCACGCCGAGAGCCGGCACGGGGCTGTGCACTGGTTATAACCCAGCTCTGGGCCGTCCCAGTGGGGTTCGCTCAGCCTCTAATGGAGAAGCAGCATCTGAATGTAAACAGGCTGTAGAGAGGAGACTCCCTAGACAATGTCTCTCTTTCCATGTCTGCTCTTCTGGGCTCTTTATCCAGCTCTAGGAATAACCAGCAATGAAGAGCCTTTCCCAAAGGGAGATGGGAACTCTCGGGGTTTGTGCTGGGTCAGAGAGGAGTTGGCTGCTCTGTGCATTTCTGTCTATTGAAATAGTATCATTGTTTAGTAAGAAAATACAGGATAATGCCTTCATCTCCGCAGGGTCTGATATGTGGTGAGTGCCCAGGGTGGCTGGATAGATCGTAGCAAGAAACATCTGGAGAAATATGAGTGAGGGGAATCATGAGCTTTCTCTGCAGATACACAGGTCTGTAGCTAAGGCATCAGAGATCAGTAGTTCTCATCAGTCACTAGCATCCTACTCTGCGAGCACTGTCTCGAGAGACGTGTGTGAGCATGTCAAGGAGAAACTGGACTCACTGTCTAGCAGGACTCTTTGTTAGGCGGGTGGGATGGACGGCCTCAGGGTGCAACCTGTGACAAGGATATCGCTGAGCTCTCTAACATACCAAATTGGCTCCCACTTACACTGTGAGTCTGTGGCAAGCCGTGATCTTTTTCAGGTCTTGCACTTACACAGCCATACACAGAGTGGGACTTTCAAGTGCCAACAATAGAGAAGATCCAGCCAATTCCACAGAGTTTTCCAACCTAGGATGCCAGAGCTATGTAATGTTGCCCTTATCAGAAGCTGGATCAGTATCCATTTATTACCCATCCCGTCCCTCCCTCAATGTGGAGGGGACAATGCACCATTACCTGTTCCTGAGCAAAATCCCCCTTTGCATTTCCAACAACACACTGTTCTAGGTAAAAGAAATAGAAACAGAATTATTTCGTACAGAAAGATTGATTTTAATAGTGATAAGCAACATTGTACAGATCAAAGTTGGTTCTCTAAGAAATAAACAACATTGAAATCCAAGTTGGTACACAGGAAGGAATTTGAAAAAAAAGTAATATTTCATCCTCGTTATGCAAACAGTCAACTTCCCACCCTATGATTCTATGATTCTAAGTAATGACTTCAGTACCACCTTTTATTCTTTTGCCATATGGGGGAAGCTTCATTCTCAAAGCAATAGCACCCAGTACAATTATTAGAAATGTACAGACACAAGATGGACTACAGTGTCACATGAGCTGGTGACAGGCCTTTGCACGCTTCAGTGAGTCATAGACGGTGACATTACACATATCCTGGTTAGAATGGTCACAGGAGTCCCCATCTGGAGTATTGCGTCCAATTCTGCTTCTCTCCCCCCATTACTAACAGATGGTTGATGCCTTTGAGAGAGACTCGCAGAGGGCAACACAAACGATTAGGGGTTGGAGCACATGACCTATGAAGAGAGGCTGAGGGATTTTGGCTTATTCAGTCTGCAGAAGAGAAGAGTGAGGGGGGATTCAATAGCAGTCATCAACTTCCTGAAGGGGGGTTCCAAAGAGAATGGAGCGAGGCTGTTCTCAGTAGTGACGGATGGCAGAACAAGGAGCAATGGTCTCAAGTTGCAGTGGGGGAGGTCTAGGTTGGATATTAGGAAAAACTATTTCACAAGGAGGATGGGGAAGCACTGGGATGGGTTCCCTAGGGAGGGGGGGGAATCTCCATCCCTAGTGGTTTTTAAGTCCAGGCTTGACAAAGCCCTGGCTGGGATGATTGACTTGGGTTGGTCCTGCTTTGGGCAGGGGGCTGGACTCCATGACTCCTGAGGTCTCTTCCAGCCCTCAGATTCTAGGATTCTATTAAACAATCCCTCTGCTTTTCAGAGCACAATAGATACCCAGATCCAGGTAGACACAAAACAACACCTACATGTCACTCCCTACCTCAGTGTCCCCACCATTCTGGAGAAATTCTGAAGTTTGGTCTCAGTATGTTAAGATGTCCAACGCCAACCTCCTGCAAGTCCTAGCTTGTCCTCCAGCTGGAGTGTGACTCTCTGCCACAGCCACAGCCCTGCAACCAAAATGTCCCCTCTGCCATCTTAGTGCCGCGCTCTTGCCCCAGCTTCTTCTAGTACAGCAAGCCTCTGTGTTTTTCAAGGGGTGGACCAACACCTCCTCCCTCTAGTCCTTTCTGGGGAGGTTCCATCCCTTCCACACCCACTTCTCAACAAAGGAGAGGAAGAAAACTGGATTTATGTTGTTACTCCTTTCTTCTGTTTGGGCCATTCTCATTAGGTACTGATCATTTTTAATGATGATGTACTTGTTGAGAGATACCTCCACCCTGTCTCCTTCCTCTTAGTACAAGAAGCATGAGGAACAAATACAGTAAAATCCCAAAGGCGTGAGAATAGTGATTGTTCATGCAATCAAACATGAGTTAAGAGTGCGACACAGTATATTCATGTCCATGAGTCCATTTCATAAAGCATGGGGGACATACATTTGAATGGACTAACAGAAAATAGCTCCCCAACAGCAATATCTATAGATACTTAGTCCTTCAAAAGGGCTAATTCCCGCAAAATGGAAGGAAATGATCAGTATAGGAGTTCCTTAAGAAGACTTTATTAGATATGTAAACCGCTATAATTCCACAGTCCAAGAAGTGGGCCACTTTGGCTAAAAATCTGGTTTAATGGTAAAGTGAAGACAGCAATATGGGTGGGGGAAAAGGGGAGCACAAGGCCAAGGAAGGGTTAAGCATCCTGCAGGATAAAAAACCCAAATTTATCCTTTAGGAACGTACTTGTAGATAGTGCATACATATCATTACATGTTAACTAGATAAATATAGGGTTCCTCTCTATGCTGTGCTTATCGCTCCTTGACATGTATCTACAGATGATGGGACATTGTCTTACATTAATTGTTTTACCTAATTAAGAACATAAGAACATAAGAACATAAGAACGGCCGTACTGGGTCAGACCAAAGGTCCTTCTAGCCCAGTATCCTGTCTGCCGACAGTGGCCAGCACCAGGTGCCCCAGAGAGGGTCGACCGAAGACAATGATCAAGAGATTTGTCTCCTGCCATCTCTCTCCAGCCTCTGACAAACAGAGGCCAAGGACACCATTTTATCCCCTGGCAAATAGCCTTTTATGGACCTAACCTCCATGAAATTATCTAGCTTCTCTTTAAACTCTATTATAGTCCCAGCCTTCACAGCTTCTTCTGGTAAGGAGTTCCACAGCTTGACTACACACTGTGTGAAGAAGAACTTTCTTTTATTAGTTTTAAACCTGCTCCCCATTAATTTCATTTGGTGTCCTCTGGTTCTTCTATTTAGGGAACTAATAAATAACTTTTCTTTATCGGCCCTCTCCACACCACTCATGATTTTATAGACCTCTATCATATCCCCCCTCAGTCTCCTCTTTTCATTATGAGTGATGCCTTGGAAACAGAACTATATGGCAGATTACAGGATTACAGGATTGCCTGTTGTTCAGCCAAAGGCTCTGACTTTAACAGGGTTCACAAAAGAGCTAGATCAATTGTGGATCAATTGGGGGAGAGGTATAGCTCAGTGGTGTGAGCATTGGATTGTGAATTCAATCCTTGAGGGGGCCATTTAGAGATCTGGAGCAAATCTGTCAGGGATGGTACTTGGTCCTGCTATGAGGGCAGGGTGGAGGACTGGACTTGATGACCTCTCCTCTTCCAGCTCTATGAGATAAGTGTATCTCTACATATTACATTAATTCCTGGAGGTTAGGTCCATCAGTAGCTATTAGCCAGCCTGGGTAAAAATAGGGTCCGTAGCCTCTGTTTGTTACAAGCTGGGAATAGGTGACACTGGAGGAACTACTTAATGTTTCCCTGTTCTGTTCATTCCCTCTGGGGCATCTGGCATTGGCCACTGCTGGCAGACAGGACCCTGGGCTACATGAACCAGTATAGCCATTCTTATGTTCTTAAAAGAAGCCTGCATCGGTATAAAAGGCCCATTGGAACTGATCCTTTTTATCTCAGATCTGCTTAATGTTTCATACAGAGTCAGCCTAAGCTGTAAGCACTGAAATCCCAGCCTTCAGATAAACCGCCCTGAGCATGACGTTGGATACTGGACAGTAAACTACGGACTAAACTCTGCAGCTACAAAGCTCACAATCTACACTCACCTGTATTTATGTCTACATATATTGATCTTTTAACCAATGTTCTGTCTCGTTTATTATTTAATAAATGTTATTTTAAATAATAAGGATTCCAGTAAAGAAGGCCCAGTGCCACTTCACCAGCCCGCTCTCCCAGAGCTCAGTCTGAGACCCAGAGAGACAGGAGGAACTTTAAGATCCTTTATAAGTACAGATTAGAAGAAATCTGTCCCGGATCTGCCTGGTCCTCACCCCGTAGATGATCGGGTTGAGCAGGGGGGGCACCAGGACATGCACACTGGCGATGAGAATGATGAAATGCAGGGGCACATTGTGACCAAACCGGTGTGTGAGGGCGGAGAAGACAATTGGGATGTAAAAGGCTAAGATGACACAGACATGGGAGGTGCAGGTCCCAAACGTCTTGAGCCGGGCGTCCTTGGTGGGGAGGCGGAAGATGGCTCTGAGGATTTGGATGTAGGACATGACGATAAGAAACACATCCATGCCAATCACAGACAGTGCTTCAGAGAGGCCGTAGTAACTACTGATGCGGTTGTCGGCACAGGCCAGCTTCACCACGGCAATGTGGTCACAGTATATGTGGGGGATGAGGTTGGTTCTACTGTATGGCCACTGCCTGGCCAACAGGGGAAAAGGCAGTATGAGCATGGTGCTACGAAGCACTATGGCCAGGCCAATCTTGGTCACATTGTTGTTTGTTAGGGTGGTAGAATGCCTCAGGGGATGGCAGATGGCCATGTAGCGATCATAAGCCATGCCCACGAAGATCCCAGACTCCATCGTTGAGAACCAGTGAATGAAGTACATCTGGATGAGGCAGGCACTGAAATCAATCTCCCGGGAATTGAACCAGAAGATACTGAGGATTTTGGGCAGGATACATGTAGACGCGACCAGGTCGGTGACAGCCAGCATGCAGAGGAAATAGTACATGGGTTCATGGAGGCTCGGCACTGTCTTCACAATAAACAGGATGGTGAAGTTCCCCAAGATGGTTATGACATACATGGCACAGAAGGGGATGGAGATCCAGACATAGGCCGCTTCGAGGCCAGTAATGCACAGCAGGATGAAGGTGGAGGAGTTGATTAAATCAGTGGTGTTGAAATCTGAAATAGAGCACATTAGGGAAGAAGGTGTCCGAATCTGAGGCAGAAAGGTATCCCCTGCATGTGTCTTCCTTTCCCCTGACTTCCTGTACGTGCCTTGAATCTAGGGTGATAATCCCAGTACAAGTACCTGAATGGAGAGATAATGTTAATATTAGACATGATGTGCACTAGAGGAGGCTGTTCTCATGGGTGAAACCGATTATTTGCTCTTCACGCAGTGCAAGTGACATTTTCATTATTTAGAGAAATGAATTATGAACAACTGATCCTACCAGTGCCAGATGAATATTGAAAAGTGCTCCAGGCCCTAATAATTCCTGCATGTCTTTGTGTGGGAAACTGTCAGAGGCACCTGTGACAGACACGGGTATGGATATTATGGATTATCCCTTATTTTCTGTTAATGCAATGAAAGCCAGGTTAGGGAGTCCAAACTGTAGGAGGTTCTTCTTTCACTTGCTTGCTCGTGAACTGAGATTGAAAAAAAAAGAAATTTGTCAGGGCACGTACCAGGGAACCATCCTAATGAGAACATACTTCAGGGAAAAGACCCAGGAGACATTGATAGCGGTTCCACAGGACAAACTGTGCTTTTCCCAGTAGTACCCAAAGACAATATTTACATGCTTACATAAGAACGGCCAGACCGGGTCAGATAAAATGTCCATCCAGTCCAGGGTCCTGTCTGCTGACAGTGGCCAATGCCAGATACCCCGGAGAGAGTGAACAGAATAGGGAACCGTCTCGTGATTCCCTCTCCTGTCATCCATTTCCAGCCTCTGACAAACAGGGACTAGGGACACCTTTCCTACCCATCCTGGCTATTGAGGGACCTCTCCTCCATTAGTTGCTCCCTCTCCTGTCATCCATGCTTAAAGAATGAGATGGAGAATATCATGTAGGTGGCCACTGACCTGCAGAGAAATCAGTCAGGGGCCGCACACAAGTGCTAAGCAAAACTAACTAACTAACTAACTAACTAACTAACTAACTAACTAACTAACTAAAACTCTATTCATGTGGCCCTCACACATCAGAGTCTAGGGAGCCCAGGCTGGTAGATTTTGTGTGCTTCAGCCTCACATCCGTCCCCAGGCCTGGGGTTCGTTTCCCCTCCTCTACAGCATGAGCTATAAAGCCAGCTGGCTCCCAGCTAAGGCTAAAGAGCAAACTCATTCTCGCTCTCTGTACGTGGTCTAAGTGCCACCACATGGGACCATGACCCACACCCCAGAAGTGTGTGGGTGACATATGCACTCATTTGCACATAGCTAGCATTGAAGACATTTTTGAGACGGGCTATGACAATGAGGATTCTGTCCTATTTGGACATACTGAAAATCTTAGACTGTCTAGCTTTCAGAAGACACAAAGAAGGAGCCATATGATGGAGATCAGAATCCATAATGGAGCTGAATCCATTCAAATGAGCAGACAGAGACGAGTTCCCAATTAGTAAGAGCTTCAGATACTTGGTGCTTCCAAAGACCTAGTTCCTCAAAGTCTAGGCAAATTATCAGTAAATCGGATTGGAAGGAAAAATTCAGAGAAACAAATGGGAATGAAAATTGGGTGTTCCTTAAGTAGAGTTGATGAGACAGGATTCCATGGTCAAGGAGTTGGACAACTTTGGCTCAAAAACCGATTCGGTGAGAAATGGAAGGTAGCAAATTGGTGTGTAAGTAATCTATAATAAATGGAAAGAAAGAGTGAAGAGAGAGCAAGCGATACACATTGAAAGTGGTGAAAGTTGATACAGGACATTAAATATATGAGGAAACAATCTATGCTTGGCAGGGCGGGAAGACTTCTTACTCTGATTCCTGTAACCCTGATTATACAAGGAATAAGAGAAGTCGTAGGAAGAGTGCTCTGTTCTGAAATAAAAGCTGTGTAGACGCTCCCTATTTTGAATAAGCAATTTCAAAAAAAGCTATGCTATTTACATAGTTCAATTTGCATTGCTTATTTAGAGTTAAGCCCTGCTGTGTAGACACACCCTTAGAAAAAAATAAAAGGAACAGTTTAAAAAAAGAGTTGATAATGTTAGGAAGAAATGCAAAATTTGGAATAGTCTTCTTGAACAAAAGATTGCTGGGTTATTATTAATGCCAGTAAACAGCATGGTTTATGAGGAGCAGGTCTTGTAAAATAAAACCATTTACATTCTTTAATGAGAGTAAATATTTGATGGATCAAGAGAACCATGCAGATGCATCCAACTTTGATTTCTCTGATGGAGTTGATTTAGTAGGGGAGAACATTCAGATAAAAAAAATGAACAGCATGCAATATCAATCGACCACACTATAAATTAAGTAAAAGCTGGCTAACCGGTAAATCTCAGAAAGGTTTTGTAAGTGGGATTCATGCAGATAAGATGTTTCAATACAATCAAATGGAAAATTTCCCTCTCAGATGCAGGTCTGACTCACAACCCATGACACTGTATTTTGGAGCACACAGACCTTGAAAAAGATTTAATGGTTGCTCTGGACAAACAACTCATCTAGAGCTCCCAGTGCAATGTTGTGTCCCAAAAGACTGCTGGGATCCTTGGATGCATAAACAGAAGTGGTGAGATGGAGCAAGAGAAGGTCTGTATCTCTGCACGTAGCATTGATGAAACTGACAGGCTACGTCTAGACTGGCAGGATTGTCCACAAATGCTTTTAACGGAAACGTTTTTCCATTAAAAGCATTTGCAGAAAAGAGCGTCTAGATTGGCACGGATGCTTTTGCGCAAAAGCACTTTTCGCGGAAAAGCATCTGTGCCAATCTAGATGCGGTTTTGCGCAAGAAAGCCCCGATCGCCATTTTCACCATCGGGGCTTTTTTGTGCAAAACAGTCCTGAGCTGTCTACACTGTCCCTCTTGCGCAAATACATTTGCGCAAGAGGGCTTTTTCCCGAACAGGAGCATCATAGTATTTGTGGAAGAACACTGACAATCTTACATTAGATCGTCAGTGTTCTTGCGCAAATTCAAACGGCCAGTGTAGACAGCTGGCAAGTTTTTCTGCAAAAGCGTCCGCTTTTGCGGAAAACTTACTCTTCTAGATGCAGCCACAGTGTATTGCCCCAGGGTCCAAAGTAAAAAATAATGTGAATCGGATTTCAATTGTGCAAGAACTTTTATACGAACATCATGGGGCAACACTTTGCAAGTATTTATCACTTTATCTCTTGAACTGTTCATAGTGTGAGACTCTAAGTTCAGTTTAGAGAAACAAAGATCCCCTGAGGTAAGTGGTTCTGTGCACTTGGGTTTAATTGAGAAAATTCCCATGAATGGGTAGCTGATTAGCCCAAAATTGCAATGTTATTTGCTCTCTCCTTCAGAACTTAAATGCTTTGACTCTATCCATGAAGAAAGGGTGTCATAAGAGGAGGGAGAAAACTTGTTCATCTTGGCCTCCGAGGATAGAACAAGAAGCAATGGGCTTAAACTGCAGCAAGAGAGGTTTAGGTTAGACATTAGGAAAAAGTTCCTACCTGTCAGGGTGATCAAACACTGGAATAAATTGCCCAGGGAGGTTGTGGAATCCCCATCTCTGGAGATATTTAAGGGTAGGTTAGATAAATGTCTGTCAGGCATGGTCTAGACAGTATTTGGTCCTGCCATGAGGGCAGGGGACTGGACTCGAAGACCTCTCGAGGCCCCTTCCAGTCCCAGTATTCTATGATTCTATGATTCTAGGAAAGTAGATCATATATGTATAATTACTGTGTCTCACAACCCACAAACAGGAGAACCTTAAATTCCATGGAAAGTCTGAACAAATAACACCGACGGGAAAAATGTGCATATATGTCCCATGGAACTCCGGGCCACAGACATTATTGGAGCAAAGGGAGTAGCATAGTGGGATTCGGGAATGGATTGGTCATTGTAGATGGACCTAGAGGTCCTAAGATCGTTGGCACCTTCAACTGGGAGACAAGCTTTTCAGTTGCTTACAAGTCTGCATAGTGTAAGCATTGGGACTGAAAATTCCCATGCAGGGGGTCTCCATTGACTTTCAAAGATTGTTTTGAATGTTTCAAAATGCAGGACAATGTAGCACTTTAAAGACTAACAAGATGGTTTATTAGATGATGAGCTTTCGTGGGCCAGACCCACTTCCTCAGATCAAATAGTGGAAGAAAGTAGTCACAACCATATATACCAAAGGATACAATTAAAAAAAATGAACAAATATGAAAAGGACAAATCACATTGCAGAACAGAAGGAGGAGGCGGGGGGGTGGGAAGGGGGAGGAAGGAAGGTAAGTGTCTGTGAATTGATGATATTAGAGGTAGGGAGAGTGGGATGTTTGTGAGTTAATGGTATTACAGGTGATAATTGGGGAAACTGTCTTGATAATGGGTGAGAAAGTTCAAAGACTTGTTAAGTCCCTGGTGGTAAGTGTCGAATTTTAACATGAATGACAGTTCAGAGGATTCCCTTTCAAGTGCAGATGTAAAAGGTCTTTGTAGCAGAATGCAGGTGGCTAAGTCATTTAGAGAGTGTCCTTTCTGGTTAAAGTGGCAAGAAACTGTTTTCTCTTTGTGATCTTGTCTGATATCTGTTTTGTGGGCATTAATCCTTTGGCGAAGTGTCTGAGATGTTTGTCCAATGTACATAGCAGACGGACACTTTCGGCACATGATAGCATAGATTATATTTCTGGATGCGCAGGAATATGTGTTCTTGATCTTATAACTCACTTGGTTAGGTCCAATAATGGTATCAGCAGAATGAATATGTGGACAAAGCTGGCAACGGGGTTTGTTGCAAGGGAAGGTACCAGGGTTGGTATTAGTGTGGTATGTCCTGTGGTGGTTGGTAAGAATTTCAGACACGCGAATTTGGCCAATTTCTCGAATGAGGATGGGTGAAGCCTTGCCGAGGATGAAAAATTCTTACAGCTATTCCAGTGAGAAGGCCAAAAGCATCCCCTGTTTCCAGCAGATAAAAGTCAAGTAACCCCACCCCTTTCCCCTGCAAGTAGCCAGATCCCTGGAATGCATAGGGAGGAAGTGACCATGTCTGTGCATTCATACACAGTTGGCCCTTGAGGTCTTTTCTCAAGTCTCACTCCAAGGGGAGTTTTCCCTTAATGGCGTCTGAGCAAAGTAACGGCCAGCGCCTCAGAATCTAGCCTTGCATTGTACATTGACTAACATCCTTTGTACTGAAAGAGTTACCAGCCACTGAAAGGCAGCTGCCTTAGAGCTGGAGGCCAGTTGCTGGGGTGGGGTAAGAGGAGAATCAGCCAGGAGGGACATTTTGCCCGTAATACTGGAGATTCATTCCCCAACTGACTTCCTCACTCATCCACCCCCCCCCCCCCCCTCGCTGAAAGGCAGCTGCCTTAGAGCTGGAGGCCAGTTGCTGGGGTGGGGTAAGAGGAGAATCAGCCAGGAGGGACATTTTGCCCGTAATACTGGAGATTCATTCCCCAACTGACTTCCTCACTCATCCACCCCCCCCCCTTGCACTGGGTTTGTGGGGTAGAGGAGCTCCTCAGCTAGAGCTGGTACCTGTGAGTGCTGAGAGGGACGTGTCTTCCCTGGGAACCCCCCTCAGGCAGCCGCGTCCCGCACCTCTCTCAGCCCAGTGTCTGCAGCAGCGTCCCGCGCCGAGAGCTGGCACAGGGCTGTGCACCATTCTTAATATAGCTCTGTGCACTCCCAGTGGGATTGGCTCAGCCTTTAGAGGAGAAGCAGCTACTGGATGCAAACAGGCTGGACATCGGAGACACTCTTGTTATTGTCTTGTTCCATGTCAGTGCTTCTGTGCTATTTATACAGTTTTAGTAGTAAACAGCAATTAAGGGACCCTACCAAAGGAAGATGAGAACTCTTGGGCTCTCCTCTGAGGTACAGAGAAATTAGCTGCCCTGTGTATACTTAAAAATTATAGTTGGTTAATAAAAAAAAACAAGGGATAATAACTAGGTCTCCATAGCCTCTGATATCCTGTAAATGCCAAGGGCTGCTGAGTAAATAGTAGATGGAAAAAGCCAGAAAAAGATGCCAGAGGAAAGACATGGACACTTTCTGTAGACACATAGTGAGGTGGCTATAAGACCAGAGATCAGTAATTCCCAGCAGTAACTATTATCAGACTGTGGAGAACATTTTAATCCAGGATCCTCAAAATATCTAGCAAAGGAAATTCACTATAAACTTATCATCATTATATGGATAATAAACTTAGTCATAGAGAGTTGACGTGGCCAAGGTCACACAGAAAACAACAGAGCAAACTCAGGCTATGTCTGCACTATAAAGTTTTTCCGGGATAGCAGAGATATCCCGGAAAAACTCCACCGCATCCAGGGAACGTGTCTGCTCTTCCACTTTTTTTTTTTTTTGTGGAAGAGCAGACACGATCTTTCAGAAGTCCTGCCTCCCTCATTCCATGAGGAAGAGGGCTCTTCCAAAAGACGAGGTTTTTCCATAATTTGGCCCATTGTTGAAAGGCCAAATTTTGGAACAGGCTCTTCTGACAAAACCATCAAAAAATGTATGCAAATTGTGGAGCACAATTTACGTACCTTTTTTCAATAAATCATTGTACTCTAGACATAGCCTCAGTAATCTGACTTCTTTATTGTAACCATGATCCCTCTGTAAGTAACTGTGTGCATGACCAGAGGCAAATGGATTCATGGTCTATCAGGGCTTGTTCATTGGGTTTCAAAATTTTAGGTAAAAAAATGGGAGCAAGTATATTCAGCAAACCATCCTCTTGCCATTGATACCTTGCATGTCATACTTTGTATCAAATTCGTCATCAAGGTACATATGGGTGTTGCTTTGGGGCACCAAATGACACACCTGCCTTCTTAGTTTACTTCCCATGTGTCTATCACTGGTTAACCTAAGTCCTTGTTACTTTTTGACTATACAACTCCCATGTGTTGGAAACATTACAGGGTTGCCTACAGGTATTCTTGCAAGGTTCTTTGTCCAATTTCTCATTTTGTAAAGCATACTAGTGATCTCACAAGTCAGGGAGTCTTAGTGTCCAAAACTCTCACCTCTTCCTATCCCTGTTCTGACCCTTCTGGCCAGCTCCCACAGCTGCCTGCTGCCTGGAGAGTCTTCAGTCTGGTAATTAAACAGTGAAAAAATGTTCCATCTCATCAGCCCTATTAGGAGAACATAATTTTGTTAACAAGCCATCCAAGTAATAATGGAGCCATTTAACACACATTTGCCATCACCCAGGTATCTACTGTCAGTCTCTGAATTTGCTGACAAAGGGTATGTCTACACTACAGTGTTATTTCAAAATATCTAATTTTGAAATAGTTATTTCAAAATAGCTTATTTTGAAATAACTTATCTGCACACAAAATGCATTTCGAAATAGCGTTTTGCTATTTCAAAATAGGTATCCACACTGAGTGGACACTGAATCATATTTAAGGCCAGTCGGAACCAGGTCTAGCAGGGCATCAGGTTGGGAGTTACTTTGTGTGGCTACTGCCTGAGGCTATGTGAGGCCTGTGCTTAAAGGGACCCCCCCCTCCCGACAGCCAGTTCTCAGGTTTCCCTGATTGCTTGCCTACCTCGATGAGGGACAGCAAAGCATTTTGTCTCTGCGTGCTCTGGTTGCCCTCACTTGGGACACCACAGCACTCTGCAACATGGAGCCAGAGCCGCCCCTGGACACTCTGGTGCGTCTCTTGGACACATTACTGTGAGCCTGGCTGCACTTTCTGCAGGTTGCTATCCGAGAGGTCCATCGGGGGGCTGTCAGCATCCAGGAGGCCCTGCAGGAGAGCTTCCACCCTGAGGAGCACTAAAAGCCGCCCTGGTCTGCCCCACTGGGGGCTTGTGCCTCATTCCTCCCTCAAGTCCTTCCTCTTACCCCTCCCCAACCCCCCTTCCTGATGTCAAATAAAATACATGTATTTTCATGAACACAAACTCTCTTTATTTAACAAAACTGGGGGGAGGGGGAATGAAACTCTGGTGAGATTGGGGAAAGGAGGCAGGAAAGGGGAAGAGAGAGGGTGGGAGAGGGGAGGGGGAAACCTGGGAGGAGGGAACTGGAAGGGAGAAGCAAGGGGAAGAAGCTCAGGGCTCACGGTTGAGAGTCTCACCAGACCAACTTGATTTTCATGCAAACCTGCTCCTGGGTTTGCATGTGGCCTTTGGTGGCCCGGCTGGCAGCTATCCTGCCATAGATGGCTGCGTTCCTCTGTCTAGTGCGGAGATCATGGATGTTGGAGACCCCCCCCCCGAAACCTGAATAAGGATCATGATCTCCACCCTGGACCAGGAAGGCGCCCGTCTTCTCCGGGCCCTGGCAGGCTCCTGGGAGCTGGCAGACTGCTCCTGGGGAGCGATGGAGGGCTGGGCTGCCAGTGGCTTGCTGGCTCATGTTTTGAGGCCACTGGAGCAGGGGCAGTGGCTGCTGGTTCTGGGATGGCAGGCTTGGAGCTGGCACAGGCACTGTGGCCAGAGTCAACCCCTTTAAGGGCTCTGGGGAGGGGGAGGAGAAGAGAAGTGTTCTTGATTGAGGCCAGAGTAGCCACCAAGACACCCTGAGAAGGCTGGAGGCCCCCTATTTCAAAATATGTGTCTACACAGCACTTATTTTGAAATAGCAGTTTCTAAATTGGTATTATTCCTCATGGAATGAGGTTTACCAAATTCGAAACAAGTGCTCCTCTATTTCGAATTAATTTAGAAATAACAGAATGGCTGGATAGAATAACGGCTGTTATTTCGAAATAACTTTACTGTGTAGACATACCCAAACTGTTATGCTCTACTGTAATATTGATTCAAAACATGTTAGTCTGCAGGACCATAGTTTAACATTTGCTTTCAAATATTTCATTAGTGTGTGGCTGAAGAGTATAGAATCATAGAACTCTAGAGCTGGAAGGGACCTTGAGAGGTCATCGAGTCCAATCACCTGCCCTCATGCAGGACCAAGCCCCTATAAAACCTGCTTTTGAATATCTCCAGTGATGGAGAGTCCACAATCTCCCTAGGCAATTTATTCCAGTGTTTAACCATCCTTGCTTCTAAAGTTTTTCTGGCTTCTCTATCCATCCCTGTAAATTTAATCTTCCTCCTTTTATCCTTCTACCTCTACCCCACCCCTTAAATGGAAACATTCCTTTTCTTCCAGATAGTTTCCCTTTCTTTACTTCTGACTATTTGATGAACTATTTTAAGAGAAACAACAACGGCAAAACCAGTACTTTAGCAAGATAAAATCTTTTGTGTCACCTGAAATCTTTCACTGCATATTTTTTAAAGTTGCAGAAATATTATAAACACATCTATAGTTATGACCAACAAGAAGTCCTGTGGCACCTTAGAGACTAACAGATGTATTGGACCATAAGCTTTCATGGGCAAAGACTCACTTCCCCATGAATACTCATGCTCCAATAAATCTGTTAGTCTATAAGGTGCCACAGGACTTCCTCATTGTTTATGCAGATTCTTACTTACACAGACAGAGACGGTAGAGTAGGGGGGAGGGATAGCCTAGTGGTTTGAGCTTTGGCCTGTTAAACCCAGGGTTATGAGTTCAATCCTTGTGGAGGCCATTTGGGGCAAATATTTTTCAGGGATGGTACTTGGCCCTGCTGTGAAGGCAGGGGACTGGACTCAATGACCTTTCAAGGTCTCTTCCAGTTCTAGGAGGTAAGCAATCTCCATTAATTAAATCATTAGGTTGGGGAGCATGCCGTGTATGTTACCTAGCTGTAAGAAGTGAATAACAATGGAGCAGATACCAGGGAGAGTCATGGAAGCTCCTTTAATGAAGGTTTTCCAAAGGCACCTGGGGAATTGGAATAGGACCATGCACTGTTTATAATACAGCTCTGGGCAGTCCCAGTGGGGTTCCCTCTGCCTCTAATGGAGAAGCAGAACCTGAATATAAACAGGCTGCAGAAAGGAGACTGTATATCTGGGATTCTGGGCTCTTTATCCAGCTTTAGGAGTAAACAGCAATTAAGGGGCTTTCCCGAAGGGAGAGGAGATCTCCCAGAGTTTATGCTTGGTCAGAGAGGAGTTGGCAGCTCTGTGTATTTCTGTATATAGTTGTTTAGTAAGAAAATACAAGATAATGCCTTCATCTCCACAGGGCCTGATACTCGGTGAGTGCCCAGGGTGGCTGGATAGTTCACAGTGAGACACGTCTGGAGGAATATGATTGAGGGGAATCATGAGCTTTCTCTGCAGATACAGGGGTCTGTGGCTAAGGCATCAGAGATCCGTAGTTCTCATCAGTCACTAGCATCCTACTCTGTAGCACTGTCTCGAGCGACGTGTGTGAGCATGTCAAGGAGAAACTGGACTCACTGTCTAGCAGGATAGTTTGTTAGGTGGGTGGGATGGATGGTTTTGGGGTGCCACCGGTGACAAGGGTACCACTGAGCTCTCTGACATACCAAAATTGGCTCCCACTCACACTTTGAGTCTGTGACAAACCACAATCTTTTCCAGGTCTTGCACTTACAGAGCCATGCACAAAGTGGGCCAGCAATAAAGAAGCTACAGCCAGTTCCACAGAGTTTTCCACCATAGAATGCCAGAGCTAAATAATGCTGCCCTGATTGGAAGCCTGATCAGTATCAGTTTATTACCCATCCAATCCCTCCCTCAATGTGGAGAGGACAATGTGCCATTTCCTATTCCTGAGCAAAATTTCCTTTTGCATATATATTAGGTAATAGAAAACAGAATTGTTTAGTACATAAAGATTGACTGTAAGAGTTAGAAGTAATAGCATACCAATCAATCAAAGTCAGTTATCTAAGAAATAAACAAAATTGCTATTTGTATACACCAGTAAGAACTTGGTAAAAAAAAAAAGAAGTATCTCATCCTCATTGTGAAAACAGTTCACCAATCTTTCATGCATAGCCGAGATATTCCTGTAGCCTGGGAATAAAGCCACAGTTGAGTCCTTGCTCAGAATGTGTTTCCAGGGGTTGAACTTGAAATACACTGAGGCCAAGTGTCTATATCAGTTCCACGTTTTTTTACCTTCTGCCACGTAGAAGGAGCTTCTTTTTTTTTCCAAGAAAAAGCTCCCGGCACAAATATTAGAATGGCACAGGCACACAATGGATTCCAGTGTCACATGAGCTGGTGCCATTCCCTTACATGTTTCAATGAGTCATAGCAGAGGCCTTTTCACGTATCCTTGGCAGAATGATCACAGGAATAGCTATACCATGGGAATACGATTCTTCTATGGACTTTAATGTATTCCTTGGCAAAAAAGGACCTGAGGATTGCAGTGGATGAGAAGCTGGATACGAGTCAACAGTGTGCTTTTGTAGCCAAGAAAGCTAATGGCATATCAGGGTGCATTAGGAAGAGCATGGCCAACTAATCCAGAGAAGTGATTATTCCCCTTTATTCAGCTCTAATGAGGCCACATCTGGAGTATTGCATCCAGTTCTAGGCCTCCCATTAAAAAAAGGATGTGGACACTGGAGAAAGCCCAGCGGAGGAAACAAAAATAATTAGGGGGCTGGTGAAGTAGACTATCCAGAGCTTCAAAAAGATTTAATGTTGATAAATGTAAAGTAATGCACATTGGAAAAAATAATCCCAACTATACATACAAAATGATGGGGGCTAATTTAGCTCCAACTATGCAAGAGAGAGATCATGGAGTCATATGGCAAGTTCTCTGAAAACATCCATTCTGTGCAGAGGCAGTGAAAAAAACAAACAGAATGTTAAGAGTCATTAAAAAAGGGATAGAGAATATCTTATTGACTCTATATAAAACCCTGATACATCCTCATCTTGAATACTATGTACAGATGTGGTCAACTCAACTCAAAAAAGATATCTTGGCATTGGAAAAGGTTCAGAAAAGGGCAACAAAATATTAGGGGTTTGGAATGGTCCTATATGAAGAGAGCTTAAAATACTTGGACATTTCATCTTAGAAGAGAGGAAACTATGGGGGTGGAAAAAGTGAATAAGTAAATAAGGAAAAGTTATTTACTTGTTCTCACAATATAAGAACTAGGGATCACCAAATGAAATTAATAGGCACCAGGTTTAAAACAAACAAAGGGAAGGTTTTCTTCACTCAGTGCAAAGTGAACCCGTGGAACTCCTTGCCAGAGGATGTGCTGAAGGCTAGGACTTTAACAGAGTTTAAAAAGATTTAGATAGATTCATGGGGGTTAGGTCCAACGTTTGCTATTATCCAGGATGGGTGGGAAAGGTGTCCCTAGCCTCTGTTTATCTGGAAATGGATGACAGGGGAGGGATCACATGGGGATTACCTGTTGTGTTCCCTCCCTCTGAGGCATCTGGTATTAGCTACTGTTGGCAGACAGTCCGTTATTATGTTCTTATGTTATGGTTGAATTAAGATTACCAACTTTGGCTATGTTAAGTTTGTAGCTACATTTGAAGTACCTTAACTCAACTTTTAGTGCTGTGCACACTGCAGGAAGTGGAAGGGAGGACACTCTTCCTTTGACTTCCCTTACTCCTTGTGGAAGCAGGAGCACCGCTCTTATTTTGAATTAGCATGTCTTCACTAGACCTACTCATTCAAACCCTTGACAGTAGCAACTTGGATCTTCTTTGTACTGTAGACATACCATTAGGGCTTCAAAAGGACTATTTCCTCCAAATGTGAATATAATTTTGAGGTTCATTAGATAGGTAAAAAGCGATAATTCCACAGTCAAGGAAGTGGGCAACTTTGGCTAAAAATCTGGTTCAGTGGAAAAGCGAAAACAACAATTTCGGTTGTGGAGCAGAGGGAGGTGGCATCACAGGGCCAAGAAAAGGTTAAGCGTCCTGCAGAATAAAAGACCCAAATTAAATCTTTAGGGACGTACCTGTAAATGGTGCATGTACATAAGAACATAAGAACGGCCGTACAGGGTCAGACCAAAGGTCCATCTAGCCCAGTATCCTGTTTACCGACAGTGGGCAGCGCCAGGTGCCCCAGAGAGGGTGGACCGAAGACAATGATCAAGAGATTTGTCTCCTGCCATCTCTCTCCAGCCTCTGACAGACAGAGGCCAAGGACACCATTTTATCCCCTGGCTAATAGCCTTTTATGGACCTAACCTCCATGAAATTATCCAGCTTCTCTTTAAACTCTATTATAGTCCTAGCCTTCACAGCCTCCTCTGGCAAGGAGTTCCACAGGTTGACTACGCACTGTGTGAAGAAGAACTTACTTTTATTAGTTTTAAACCTGCTACCCATTAATTTCATTTGGTGTTCTCTAGTTCTTCTATTTAGGGAACTAATAAATAACTTTTCTTTATCTGCCCTCTCCACACCACTCATGATTTTATAGACCTCTATCATATCCCCCTCAGTCTCCTCTTTTCTAAGCTGAAAAGTCCCAGTCGCTTTAACCTCTCCTCATATGGGACCCGTTCCAAACCCCTAATCATTTTAGTTGCCCTTTTCTGAACCCTTCCCAAGGGTATTTAGCTTTTCTTGTTAGACATTAACAATATAAATACAGGGTTCTCCTCTATGCTGTGCTTATCGCTCCTTGAAGTGTATCTGCAGATGATGGGCAATGGTCTTATGTTAATTGTTATAGTAAATTACCATTAATGCCTTGAAAACAGGACTATATGGCATGTCCAGGATTGCCTATTGTTCACCAAAAGGTTCTGAAATGTGAAGAGAAACCTGAATCTGTATAAAAGACCGTTTGATCCCTTTTATCTCAGATCTGCTTAAGGTTTCATGCAGAGTCAGCCTAAGTCAGAAGGATTGAAACTCCAGGCTTTAGATAAACCACCCTGAGCATGATGTTGGACATTGGACAGTAAACTATGGACTAAATTTTGCAGCTACAAAGCTCACTATCTACAATGAAGTGTATTCCTCTGTGTACATATCTTTTAACCAATGTTTTATTGTATAATAAATGTTAGTTTCAATAAGGATTCCCGTTAAGAGGGTTGGCACGATTTCACCAGCCAGCTCTGCACATGACTCAGTCTGAGACCAAAAGTGCCAGGAAAAAAATCTTTAAGTTCCTTTATGAGTAAAGATTTGAAGCAATCTGTCCCGGATCTGCCTGGTCCTCACCCCGTAGATGATGGGGTTCAGCATGGGGGGCACCAGGAGGTACACATTGGCAATGAGAATGACGAAATACAGGGGCACATTATGACCAAACCGGTGTGTGATGGAGGAAAAAAGAGTTGGGATGTAAAAGGCTAAGATGACACAGACATGGGAGACGCAAGTCCCAAAAGTCTTGACCCGGGCATCTTTTGTGGGGAGGCTGAAGATGGCCCTGAGGATCTGGGTGTAGGACATGATGATAAAAAACACATCCATGCCAATCACAAAGAATGCCACAGCGAGGCTGTAGTAACTACTGATGCGGATGTCGGCACAGGCCAGCTTCACCACAGCGATGTGCTCACAGAAAGAGTGGGGGATGATGTTGGTTCCACTATATGGCCACCGCCTTGCCAGCAAGGGATAAGGCAGTATGAGCATAATACCACGCAACAACACAGCCAGGCCAATCTTGGTCACATTGTGGTTTGCCAGGATGGTGGAATGTCTCAGGGGATCACAGATGGCCACGTAGCGATCATAAGCCATAGCCATGAAGATCCCTGATTCAATTGCGGAGAAGCAGTGAATGAAGTACATCTGGGTGAGGCAGGCACTGAAATCGATTTTCCGGGAATTGACCCAGAAGATGCTCAGCATTTTGGGAAGGATGGATGTAGATAGAACCAGGTCGGTGATGGCCAGCATGCAGAGGAAATAGTACATGGGCTCATGGAGGCTCGGCTCTTTCTTCACAATGAACAAGATGATGAAGTTCCCTAAGAGGGCTACGGTGTACATGACGCAGAAAGGGATGGCGACCCAGCAGGATGAAGGTGGAAGGGTTGATGAAATCAGTGGTGTTGGAGTCTGACATGGAGCACATTAGGGAAGGTGTCCGAATCTGAGGCAGAACAGTGTCCCCTGCATGTATCTTCCTTTCCCCTGACTTCCTGTATGTGCCTAGTGTGATGATCCCAGTACAACTACCTGAATGGAGAGATAATATTAATATTAAAAAACCTTTAAAAACAAAGTATGGTCCTGCAGTACCCTAGAGACTAACAAAACATGTAGATGGTATCATGAGCTTTCGTGGGCACAGCCCACTTTGGTCCCCGTACAAATACCTTATATATTAATGTTAGTATATGACACGACATGCACTAGAGGAAGCTGTTCTCATGGGTGAAACTGACCATTTGCTCTTCACACAGTGTAGGTGACATTTTCATTATTCAGAGAAATGAATTATGAACAACTGACCCTACTAGCACCAGTTCCATATTGGAAGGTGCTCCAGGCCCTAATAATTCCTCCATGTCTTTGTATGGGAAACTGTAAGAGGCACCAGTGGGAGGGACGGGTATGGATTCGGATTATCCCTTATTTTCTGGTAATGCAAGGAAGGCCAGGTTAGGGAGTCCAAACTGTAGGAGGTTCTTCTTTCACCCCCTTGCTCATAAACTGAAATTGAAAAAAAAAGTAAGTTTGTCAGGGCACGTACCAGAGGAACCATCTTCATGATCAAGGTAAAGACCCAGGAGACACTGATAGCGGTTCCACGGGACAAACTGTGCCTTTCCCAGTAGTAGCCAAAGACAATATGTACATGCTTACATAAGAATGGCCAGACTGGGCGAGACCAAAGGTCCATCTGGTCCAGTGTCCTGTCTGCCAACAGTGGCCAATGCCAGATGCCCCAGAGGGAATGACCAAGCGATCCCTCCCCTGTCACCCACTTCCAGCCTCTGCCAAACAGGAACTAGGGACACAATCCTTGCCCATCCTGGCTATTGATGAATATCAATTCTCCTCCATGAATTGATCCCTCTCCTGACATCCATGCTTAAGGAATGGGATGGAGAATAACATGTTGAACCTGGGACTTCCAGGGTGTGTCTAGACTACAGGGTTTTGTTGACAAAACTATACCTGCGTCCACACTGCCTTTGAGTTATGTCGACATAATGTTGACAAAACTCAGCAGTTTTGTCAATGTATGTAAACCTCATTCTACGAGGAATAACGCCTTTTGTCAACAGAGTTCTGTCAACAGAAGGCATTATTGAATCTACACTCTCCTTTTCGTCTACACTGTCATGTCGACAAAGCGGCTTGCTTTGTCAACAGAACTGGATGTAGTCTAGATGCTCTTTGACGACAGAAGCTTTGTCGACAGTATCTGTCGACAGAACTTCTGTCGACAAAAGCCTGTAGTCTAGAAATACCCCCAGAACTTAGTGCGTGAGCCTCTACAGCAGGGGCAGGGAAGCTTTTTTAGGTAGGGTGTCGCTGACCTGCAGAAAAACGCGTCGGGGACATCACACAAGTGAGAAGCCAAGGAGGAGAAAGACACTCCCCACATTCTCCTCACACACTCGAGTCTAGCGGGCACAGGCTGGTAGATTTTGTGTGCTCCAGATGCACATCCAGTCCTGGGCCTGGGGTTCCTCACCCCTTCTCTACAGCTTGAGCTATAAAGCCAGCTGGCTAAGGCTGTAGAACAAACTCATTCTCCCTCTCTGTACGTGGTCTAAGTGCCACCATAGGGACAGTGAGCCACATCCCCATCGTGTGTGAGTGACATATGCTCTCGTTTGGATGTAGCTGGCATAAAAGGAAATTCTGACACGGGCTGTGACAATGGGGATTCCGGATGATGGATGTTTCCAGACCAGAGAGTTCTGGACTAAAGAGGTTCAACCAGTATAATTCATGCCAGACGACAGCCTGGTTTATGAGGAACAGGTCTTGTAAAATAAAATTACTTACGTTCTTTAATGAGAGGAAAGATTTGATTGATGTGCAAGGGAACTGTCATGGCTGTCCCCCTCTGGCACAATGAATGCAGAAGTGGGGCCTGCAAAACACCCCAAAATCTGATCTCTGCAGGCTTTGGTGCAAAAACTCCCCCCAAAATCCTAATACCCAGATTTTGGGGAATCTGCTGACACCATCAAGTGCTTTTGAACTCACAAATGGGGGTGGACGCTTGAAACCAACCCCAGGGCACCCCAAGATCTTTTCCCCAAAGAGCTTGAAAAGAAAAGACAAAATACACGCTGCACTCTGTGATTGCTGTCCCTTCGTCAGATGCATGCGGATCCCACAGACAGATTTTCCTGAGTTACTTAAAAAAAACACTTTTATTATTAAAACAATACCCCACTTACAAGCATAGCTGGAATGGCTAGATGGTAAGAGCCACCAATTAATATACACAGGGAGGATTCCCCCATGGACCAAAACTTAGTTACAAAAGAGAGGAAAAACCATTTCTAACAGCACAGACATCAGATCCAAATTCTCAAAACAGAGAACAATAAAACCTGATGGATTTATCTCGACTTTACCCTACTTTACACATTATGAAGAGTCTTTTTCTTGGAAAGAGACATGTCTTCTGTCTCCCTCAGTATCTAGAGAGCCAACTGGCTCAGAGACAAAGGAGGGAAGACCCCAAAATTCCTTTGTCTCAGTTTGAAATCCCTATCTGCATTTCTATTGACTGAGCAAATACCTGGCTAAGTACATAGACATAGTTAACCCCTTAGGGTGTGTCTAGACTACCCCTCTCTATCGACAGAAAGATGTATATAAGACACGTTGAAATGGCTAAAGAAGCAGGGATTTGAATATCCCACTCTTCGTTAGCATAAACGTGGCCACCACCTTTTTTCAAAGTGGAGTTTAAAAAAAAATGGTAGTCTACATGCAGATCTGTCAAAAATAAACCCTTTTTCGACAGATCCTGTAAATGTCATTTTTTGAGGAATACAGGATGTCGAAAAAAAGGGTTTATTTTTGACAGAGCCGCATCTAGACTGCCATTTTTTTTTTTAAAAACCCCTCCCTTTTGAAAAAAGGCAGTGACCACGTTTATGCTAATGAAGCGTAGGATATTTAAATCCCTGCTTCATTAGCAATTTCAATGTGCTTGATTTGCATCCCTGTCAGAAGAGGGTTGCAAGCTAGATGTAGCCTTAGTCCCCAGGCTGCTGGCCATCTCTCAAGGTCATGACAGGAATCATGCAACTTTGATTTCTCTGAAGCATTTTCTTTAAAAGGGGAGAACATTCAGCTTTTAAAAAATGAACAGTATGTAATATCAGTCGACCACACTTTACGTTAAGTAATAGCTGGCTAACTGGGAGATCTCAGAAAGCAGTCGTCAATGGGCCATTGTTAGTCAATGGGGATATTTCTAGGCAGTTTCTGCAGGGCTGTGTTCCGAGCCTAATGCTACTCTGTATTGACCTCATAAATCCTCTGCAATGAAATAGAAAGACCATTACCAATACAATTTTTGGACAACCAAAAGATTAGCAGAGTGGTTATAATGAGCAGGCCGAGGTTAAGTATTCTGGGGGTTCGATTTGAGGACTCCTGAGGTCTCTTCCAACCCTAGGATTCTATGATTCTATGAATATTTTGTAAGCGGGACCCGTGCAAACAAGATTTTTCAATACAATCAAATGCACAATTACTCTCTCAAATGCAGGTCTGGCCCACAGACTATGACATAACATTATGGAACGCAGGAACCCTGAAAAGGATTTCATGGACACTCTGGACAAACAACTCATCGCAAGCTCCCAGTGCAATGCTCAGGGCAAAAGGATGGATGGGACTCTTGGATGCATGAACAGAGGAGTGATGAGTTGGAGCAGGAGAAGGATTTTACTTCTGGACATGGCATTGGGGAAACAGACGGGGGTCCACATTTATTGGAGATGGTGCAGAAAAGAGACAGAAATATCATCTGAGACCGAGAAATCACCCGTCAGTGACGGACACTTAAAGAGCTTCATGTAATTTTTCTTCTCAAAACGACCGTCACGTGGAGACTTCCATGGGGAGAAAATTGTGAGTTTTAATGGGCTTCTCTAGTGGGAAGGAAAGGGAAGGTCCAACAACTGGAAGAGGAAGCCAGACTTACTGCAATCGGAAGCAAGGGCCGAATGTTTAGCACTGAAGGTGACTAACCTTTGGAACACACTGCAAGTGGCAAATTTTCCAACGTCACAAGAATACAGATCTAGACCATTTGCTTTTCTGGAAGATTTGCTTGAGAGCTCGTTTACACTTCACACACTACAGCGATACTGCCAGAGAGCTTCAGCATAGGTTGTGCTTATGCTGACAATTGTGGTTCTCCAGTCAACATAGATAAATCCACCTATCTGAATGGTGGTAGCGAGGTCAAGGGAAGAATTCTTCCAGGGGTGTGGAATTTTTTTTTCTGTTGCAAAATAAAGGAGATAAAATTCTTCTTGCATTAGCAGAGGCATAGGATGCAAGTCCCAGTAGATGATGATACCACACTACTCAGCACTGGTTAGGACTCAGTTGTAACACTATGTCCAACATAGTGGTGGGGTGGCTTCCCCCCACGGCCTAGGGCGCTCACCTGGGAAGGACAGGGTTGTGGGTTCTAGTCCTGGGTGGGGGTCAGGGCCAGAGGGATAAAGGGCACCCTGACGGTAAGGTGGTGGGGCAGTTTCCCCTGTGGCCTAGGGGATAGGGCACTCGTCATCTATAGGAAGGAGGTAGAGCAGTTGTAAAGGATCCAGAGTTAAGGGGCAAAGATGTGAAAAGGGACGGAATTTCAATCCTAGTTGCTACCTGAAGGAACGGGGTCCATTTAAGTTGGAAAAGAGCAGATTGATGAGGGTGATCTTCAGAGACTTGCAAGGCTGCCATGAAACAAACATGCAGAGACGTTGTTCTCTCTCGCCACAGAGGGCAGCACAAGAGGTGATGGGTCAAACTGCAGCAGAGCTGATGAAGAATAAATCTCAGGGAAGAAAAATCCTCTCCTTAGGGACTGCAGGACAGAGCCAGATGCCTTTAGAGATCGTGGAAGCTCTTTTGCTGTCCACAGGATGGTAGAGAGCCACCTGTCTCTACTGATTCAGGCACCACAAATCCTGCATTTTGGCAGAGGGTCAGACAAGCTGACCCATGTAAAACTGGATTAGGATTTAGGATTCTATGAGTTACTAACCTAGGGTGGACCAGGCCTTAGTCAAACAGAACACATTGGGGGTCAATAGAGAAATAACAGGGTGAAATTCAATGCCCTGTGTTACAAAAGAAGTCTGACAGAATTATCTCATGAACCCTTCAGAACTTAAAATTTATGACTCTGCCAATGACGAATGTAGACCAGCCATTTTGCCTCACAACCTACAAACAAGGGAACCTTACATTTCACGGAAAAGTCTGAACATACAACATGTTCATGGAGGGGAAAAATGAGGAAGTATGTCCTGTGCAACTCCCGGCCACAGACATTACTGGAGCAAAGAAAGTAGCGTAGTGGGATTCACAAATGGATTGGTCATTGTATATGGGCCTAGGGTCACCACTTTCAGATAGAGCCATTGGACTCTTCCACTGGGAGACAAGCTTTTCAGTTGCTTATACGTTTGCCATAATGTAAGTGTTGGGACTTGAATTTCCCATGCTGGGGGTCTCCATTGACTTTCAAAGATTGTTTCAATATTTCAGACATAAGAA